GTTCTGTTTTCTAACTGATTTTCACTGCTATTTGTAGGTCTTTACATTGCCTCTGGCCATCCTGTTGAACTTTTTCATACTTCCGATTATTTTCCAGTTGACTTTACTCTGTTTTCTAGAGCTATGCTCATATCACTTGTGACTAATCCTACGGGCAGTGGTGTTTTCAGCCTTTGCCATGTGTCAGGCCCCCACACCAAGGGCTCTGCCCACGTCTGCTTGTGTAATCCCCACTGTCCTTTATGGGGCAGGTTCATTGTTCCTCGGACACAGGAATCCGACACTCGTACCAGCTAAGTAATTTACCAAAATGGTGTTCAATTGCTAGTGAATGATGCAGCTGGGATCCAGACCCAAATCTAATGCCAGGGTGTGTGTGTGTGTGTGTGTCCAACTGGCATTAAGCCAATCTTTTAAAAATGTTTTAACATTTTAAAAATTTATATTTGATTCTGAACCATTTTACTAAAAGTCAAAGCATCCAGGAATTTCTATTTTTAATAGGAAATTACATTTTTATTGTGGAAAGAATGCTTAACATGAGAGCTACCTTCTTAACAAATTTCTAAGTGTACAATACAATGCTGTTATCTGTAGGTGCACTGTGGTCCAGCAGATCTCCAGAACATATTCATCTTGCAAAACTGAAACTTGGTATGAGTTGAACAGCAGCTCACTCTTCCCTCCTCCCCACAGCCCTTGGCAATCCCCATTCTACTCTTCCTCTGTATGAGTGGGACTCTTTAGATGCCTCATCTGAAACCACACAGTGTTTGGTCCTTCTGTGACTGGTTTATTTGACTTACCATAATGTCCTCAACATTCATGCATGTTGTTGCATGTGGCAGGATTTCCTTTTTTCCTTTTTTTTTAAGGCTGAATAATATTCCGTTGCATATATATATATATATATATTTTCTTGATCCATCCACCAGTTGATGGACATTTAGGTTATTTCCATATCTTGGCTTTTGTGAATCCTGCTGTAATGACACAAGAATGCATGCATCTCTGAGATCCTGATTTCAGTTCTTTTGGATAAACACCCAGAAGTGAGATTGCTGGATCATAAGGTAGTTCTTTTTTTTTTTTAAATCTTTTTTTTTTTTTAAAGATTTTATTTATTTATTTGAGAGAGAGAATGAGATAGAGAGAGAGCACATGAGATGGGGGAGGGTCAGAGGGAGAAGCAGACTCCCTGACGAGCAGGGAGCCCGATGCGGGACTCGATCCAGGGACTCCAGGATCATGACCTGAGCCTAAGGCAGTCGCTCAACCAACTGAGCCACCCAGGCGCCCCTGGATCATAAGGTAGTTCTGTTTGTAATTTTTTGAGAAACTTCCATACCATTTTCCATAGTGGTTGCGCCAATTTACGTTCCCAGCAACGGTGCACCAGACTTACGGTTTCTCCACAGCCTGGCCAACACTTGTCGTCCTTTGTCTTTTTGGTAATAGCCATCCAACAGGTGAGATGTGACAGCTCATTGTCATTTTAATCTGTAACCTAATATTTTGGGGTTTTTTTGCTTATCTTTTTAAATATCTAAACCATTGAAAAGCAGGGACCTTTGTTTTTTAAAATTTATTATTTATGTATTAAAAAGATTTTATTTATTTGAGAGAGAGAGAGAGCACAAGCAGGGGGAGGGGCAAGGGAGAGGGAGAACCAGGCTACGCCCTGAGCAGGGAGCCCAATTTTGGGGGGGTTGCTCATTCCCTGGACCCTGGGATCATGACCTGAGCCAAAGGCAGATGCTTAACCAACTGAGCCACCCAGGTGCCCTGGGACCTTTGTTTTGTCCAGGACTTCAGTGGGAGTGTTTCTGGTGTTTGTAGGTGGATACAGTGTTGGCTGTTGATACGTGAGAGCCGTTCTTTACAAGGTTAATGAAGTATTTCTCAATTCCAAGATTAATAAGTCAGATGAATACAGAATTTTGTCAAAACCTTTAGGTATTTGATTATGGTCTTTCCTCTTTGACCCACTGGTATGATAAGTTATGTTAATAGAGTTTTGAATATTAAGTGACTCCTAATGGTAAATCATCCTTGGTTTCCTGGAGTAAAATCCACCTGGTCATGGTAAATTACCCTTCTGAAGTACAGCTGAGTCGTGCTTGCTGGTATTTTATTTAATGTGTTTATATCTATATCAATAAGTAAGATTGGACTAGAGCTTCCTCCTTCTTTGGCTGTAGTTAACTAGCTCTTAGCAGCAGATGCATGCCAACCCCACTAAAGAAATTAGGGCACATTTTCTCTTTTTATTTCTTCCTAACATAACACGAGACCTACTTACTATTAAAATGTTGAAATAGTTAACATTTAGAATAATTTGGGCCACGTATCTTCTGCAGAGGTGATTTTTATATGACTTACTCCAATTTCTACCAAAGTTCTACTCGGATTCCCACTGAGTCAATTTTTTATCATTTATATTTTCCTAGAACACCCATCAGTATCATTAAAAATTTCAAATTTATTTGGTATATGATTTTGTATTTATTATACATTGCATTATCTTCTAATTTATGAATTTATAGTTTTTTTATTCTATTAATTCTCCCTTGTGTTGAGAGGCTAACTAAAGCATGGGTCAGAAGTGAATCCCAGAGCAGGGTGGCAGGATTTTGATCTCACCTCTTCTACATGATCTTAGGTTCATCAATTCTTCTCAATTTCTTCATTTGTAAAATGAAGATAATAACAGTGTCCTCCTCGTAACATGGTTAATAAGAGTTAACCACCACCAGGCACAAAACTAATAGTATTTGCTATTATTCTGTTTTCTAATTTTTTTTAATATTTCTGTTTACAAATAAAATAGCATTCAGGTTTATGTATTCACTATACAGGTTATTTGTTTTCTTAAATTATTGAGTTTTTAAAAATCTCCCCTTCATTTCTTTCTTATACTTTTCTTATTTTTCACTTGCCACCTTTGAAAAAAATTAATGTGCTTTCTTTAGTTCATTTCTCTTCATCCTTTCTTGCTTGATAATAAAATTTCAGGCTAAAATCTTGGACCATCACATTTTTGTATTCTGTTTTCTCACATAAGTTATTTCTAAATAATCTATAACCAGTGTTTTAATTTTCTCTTTACCAACATGTTATTTAGGAAGGAGACTTTTAATTTGTAAAGGCTTGGACTTTTCTAGTTTTTCTTTGTTCATTAGGTTTTAAAGAGTATTTTCCATTATATATGCCCAGAAAACTATAATTTCTCTCTATATTTTATATACGCTTCTATGTTCTCTATATATGCTCAGAGAATGTGACCTGAACTAGTGTGTATGATCTAATATTATATAAATTTGGGAAATTGTATTAATTGATCTCTTGAAAGAAGTTTCATTATCTTCTTGATGTAATATTTAAAAGTCTGTTCAATCAATATTGTATTATCAAGATCCCTTACATCCTTATTTATTGGTCTACTTAATCTGTCAAAAACTCTTGAGTGTTAAAATCTCCCAGCACCAAAGTGTTTATATCATCTGCCCCCTATATTGCTAGTAATTTAGCTCTAGGTATTTAACGATTTCAGTAAGTAAACATTTATGACTGTTGGTCTGCCTTGTACATTGCATATTTATCAGTGTAAATAATCTGTTCTATTTTAAGATATTTTACTTGAATCCTACAGTGCCTGACATTCATTTTGCAGCCCCTGGCTTAACTTTTGTTTGCAATAGACTGGCACCTCTTTGTTTATTCTTTTGCATCTAACCCAAATAAGTGATTTTATTTTAGGTCTGGCCAATGTAAACGGAATAAGGCTCGATTCAAATTTTGACCCAATCTCAGAATCTCTGACTTTTCATTAGGGAGCTTAAAAAAATTACATTTATTGCCAACCTGTTTGCTTGGGTTTATTTCTCTGATTTGTTTTCCAATTTCCTCAGTTTTATTAACTGCTCCCCATCCATTTTTTCTTTTTTTTACTATAGGTGGCATAATAATGTAGTAGTTAAAAATGAACCTGGATCAACCTTCAGCTCTCTCACTAGCTGTGTGCATTGTGTCCGATAACCAGGAGTACAATTTGAGGCATACAGATTACCTGGAGTGCATCCAGACAAGTGTGGTCCCAGTAAAAGTTGCAGCATATTCCTACATGAGGAATAGATGAGGAGATTAGACTGGGGAAAAAGTTGAAGTGCTGATTGCCATGGAGAGAGAGACAGACAGAGAGACAGAGGCGGGGAGATAGAGACAGAGAGATTAGAGTGATTTTGTAGAACTTCTAGATCAGAATTCTAAACTGAATATGTAGGTCTCAGGAAGTCAGAGCTATGGAAGAAATTCCAAAATTGGACTTTGTTCCTCCATAAAGTCATGAGTTCACAGTCATTAGAGATGTACAAGAAAAAAAAAAAACTGGACAACATCAGAGTGCACTTTAGCTGATTCATATTTTGATCAGAGGCTGCAACTCATTCAGATCATTCAAAACTCTGAAGATCTTTAATTACTGGGGAAATAATGACATTCACAAGATCCTAGTCTCTTTTAACTTTGTAGTCTTTTGAACTTCTTAGATGGGAATTCTGATTTTGATTCTATAGAATAGCTTTTAAAAGAAAGTCCCGTGCCCAAACATCCCATATGGATGTGTGGTTTGTATGAAGGTCTATATCTATACATATCTACATAGACAGAGTTCTTAACCCCTGGCAAAATATTAGAATTGGCTGGGGTGCTTAAAAAACACCAACATCTAGTTCTCATTCAGGTTGTTTTGATTTAACCTTTCTGGGGTTAGAGCCCAGAGAGTGTTTTGTTTGTTTTGTTTTATTTACAATCTCCCCAGGTGATTCTAATCTGCAACCAAGTTAAGAAACATTGGCATAGAGAAGGTTACCATTGATTTCCCTTTGGGCAAACTTGGCAAACATTTGTGCTTTGCATCTGGCGCATCCATTTTTCCATTTCAAGCCACAGCCCCCTATTTTGGTTGGGAATTCCTCACTTCTGTCTTTCTCCCCATGCAGCTTTGGAGGTGTTCACTCCATGGATTTGGGTTGAACAGGACTCTCAGACTTCAGTCAGCCAGGACTTTGCAGGAGCCTTCCTCATTTCAGCTGGATTTGAACCTGGAGAAGCTGGAAGCCCCCCCCCCCCGCATCCTAAGAATGAAGCTTGCACAGAGAAAGGTAGGGTTGAAAGATGGACAGAAACTGAACCTTGAGTTCTGTCACACCGTGGTCATTGTTATCTCCATTTCACAGATAAGGAAACCGAGACTAGGTGAGACTCAATTACTTATCGCAGATGTCCAGGAGACAGGATTTGACTCGATGAAGGTCAGATTTCAAAAGTGAGGCAATTTCTGCTGTAAGACACCTCCACAACTCGTAAACACGCCATCTCCTCTGAGTGAGAGAAATGATGAATTTTGAAACTAGTAGGTCTGAGTTTGAGTCTATCAAGGAGATTTTATGCTCTTTTGGCAATGCCTGTGTTCGATGGGATAAACACATACTTCTGTTTCTCAGGATAATTCACGGGTTTTGTCTGCTTGGTTTTTGCTCACTTTCCACAGAAAGAGTACTAACTCTTATAGATATGCTAATGAGTGTCTCTTCAATTGTCCTCTCTTGGAGTTTTTCTTTGGGTATATTCTTGCTGGTTCCCCAGATATAAGTGCATAGCAAAGAGTGGGGAAGGTGTGGAATGCTCTGGAAAGATAGGGAAGAGTAGACCAAGAAACAATCAAATGTGGACCACGGTGTTTTAGGATGGTGTGTTTTATATTTTTTAGAAGAGCTTCCCTGAGCCATCCCAGCAGAGTCTAAGAAACCCTGCCAGATCTAGGTGGGCTGGGGGAACTATAGGACATAGGAACAATATGTACTAAACCCTTGCTGTGTAAGTGACAGGAATGGGATTTGATTTTCAAACACAGGTGCTTTGTTACACTCCACGCCTGCAAAGCACTTCTAACTCCATCACTGTTCTGCTTTGCTGATAACCAGAGTCATTATGAATTTTAAGACGATCAGAGTTATCTTGAAGGTTATCAAGATTTTCTGTTCTGTGGGTGATGTTTATCAGGCTAACCTTAGAACTGCTCAGAAATGGCAGAGTTGTTCTCTAAGATGGGGAGTTGTGAGTCTGGCCTGAATATTTCTTTAAAAAAGAAAGGAGGGGTGGGGCGCCTGGGTGGCTCAGTCGTTAAGCTCCTGCCTTCGGCTCAGGTCATGATCCCAGGGTCCTGGGATCGATCCCCGCATCGGACTCCCTGCTCAGTGGGAAGTCTGCTTCTCCCTCTCCACTCCCCCTGCTTGTGTTCCCTCTCTCGCTGTGTCTCTCTCTGTCAAATAAATAAATAAACAATCTTTAAAAAAAAAAAAAGTACTTCTTTAAAAAAAAAAAAGAAAGGAGGGGTGCCTGGGTGGCTTACTTGGTTAAGTGGCAGACTATTGGTTTCAGCTCGGGTCCTGATCTCAGGGATTGTGGGATTGACTCCCCCCGTTGGGCTCTGTGCTCAGCACGGAGTCTGCTTGTCCCTCTCCCTCTTCTCCTCCACTTGCTTTCTCTCTCTCTTTCTCTCTCCTTCTCTCTAAAAGAAATAAATAAAATCCAAAAAAAAAAAAAAAAAAGGAAACAACAAAAAAAATCAGATTCCAAGGAGTTCCCCTTCATTCAGACTCAGAGTATTTAATTCCAACAAAGAATCAGATGGGAAGGGATATTTTCATATTCTGTCCCAACAAGCACTTTGGTGGGTTCATCTGGTATCCTACAGTGATAGCATCCAACTGTGACGATCCTAAGCATGGCCTTCTTCAGAGCATTTGTGATTAAAAGCCCAAGAAGCAAGTTGAAGCAATAACACAGCGTACTTTACAAACCAATTTAATTAAACTTGACTAGCCGTGGGAAACTCCACTCAACTAGCTGGTCAGTGGGATATCATGGTTAACCAAGGGAGAGGCCAAATTAGGCCCAGACCCCGGAGACTGTTTCAAGTCCCAGCAGTGAGACTGCTCACCTTTTCTCATCTAATTGCAGCCATCAGTTTAATCCTTAAAGAATTATGTCCAATTGGTTTCCGTCTGTCTGCATTTGTAAATGTCATTCTGCCCATCATGTGCTGTAAAGATTAGCTATGCTTCATCGTTTTGTTAGCATGAATCAATAATGTGGGTTTCTTGGCTCGCTGAATTTTTATTTGTGTGAGAGAGAATGAGAGAGAGCACATGAGAGGGGGGAGGGTCAGAGGAAGAAGCAGACTCCCTGCCGAGCAGGGAGCCTGATGTGGGACTCGATCCAGGGACTCGGGATCATGACCCGAGCCGAAGGCAGTCGCTTAACCAACTGAGCCACCCAGGCACCCTCGCTGAATTTTTAAAGCCATCTGTGAATCAATGTAAGCTATGTGCAGCACCCCTTATAACATGCTAATTTGATATCATTGGATAAAAGGCCTCGTTTTGGGATTGAAAATTTTAAGATTAGCTTTAAGGTTAGCTTAACTATAGAGGAGACGTGCTATGTTATGTCATTTTGCTGATACACACTCATGGATTCCATTCTGGGGGAAGGGGTAAAATGAGATGATCAAAATTCTGCACAGAAGCATGGTCCAATAAAATGCAAAACAAAAGCCCCTACCAGAAGCTTTGTGATGGGCCCTTAAAAATATCCACCAGTGGTTCAAAAATGCCTCACTCTTGGAAGTGTAGCAGTGGTGCTGGAAATTACATCCTATGAAGAAAACGAGGGGGGTATAATGCATTTCCTGGAAATTGCACCATAAAAGAAGTCCATCTTTCTTCAAAGCAGGTGAGAAGCAAGCAGTACTTATGTGGTAATCCCATAAGGTTGTTTAACATTTTTTTCCATTGCAGAAAATTCACGGTCAGCTTATGTGATGCTTTGATAAAGCCAAACCTTTCCTAAGCCTGTAGAAATGGGTGTTGATACAATGCTGTTGTTAATCACTAAAAGATCCCCTATAAAAATATTTAACTTCATTAGTTATGAAAGACAACAATTTAATTTATCAAATTAGCAAATACTGAAAAACTATTAAAGCTGCTGAGGATGGGGTGATTTATTGCTGGGAGGTGTGTAAATTATTGCAATCTTTCCAAAAAGCTATTTCAAAAAAGTATCTGAAGGCTTAACATCATCTTACCCTTTTAAACCTGATAAATCCAGTTTTAGTGATTATTCAAATTTATAGGCAAACATCTATGCTTAAATATGTTTATCACTGTATTAGTCCAAATAAAAACTATGGCAACAACCCAAACATCTAACAAAATGAGTGATTGAAATCATTATAATCTTTCCCTTTGATAAATTATCCCAAATTCTCATAAAAAAGGCGCTTTGCAAAGAATTTATAATTTCCTGGAGAAATCTTTAAATGTAATGTTAGAGGACAAAACCAAGATGTAAAGTCATGTGTGTGACACCATCTCACCTATGTCAAAAGTACATAGTATTTTGGGAAAGGTGCTGTAAGTTAACACACTGGGATGTTAAGAGTCATTCATTCCATAAATAGGTGTTTGTCAGCGACTATTTTTTCAGAAACTGTTCTAGAACTGGAGGTTACAGTGGTACTAGACAAGTTCCTGCTCTCATGAAGCTTACCTCTTAGTAGGAGACATAATAACAAAAAAAAAAAAAATCAAGACACTCTCTGGAAGCAGTTAAGAGTTATAAAGAAGTCAACTATGATAGTGCGCTTGAATGGTGTCAGCAATGAGGGTCAGGGTGGAGGGCTTCAGATCGAACATCAAGGAAGCCTCTGAGGAGGTGATAGTTAAGCTGATCTGAAGACAGGGAGGGAGCAGTGTGATGATCTGGTCGAAGAGTGTGCCAACCAGAGGAAAGAACCAGTGCAAAGGCAAGGACAGTTGGGTGTGTTCTAGAAATATAAAGAAAAACTGCTGGAGATTACTGTGTGAGGAGGCATAGTCCAAAATAAGCAGATCTTGGAGGCTAGAGTAAGGCATTTAAATCTCATGTATATGTAATGGGAAGCCTTGGAGGCCTCTGAGCTAAGGAGTGATCTAATATAATCAACATTTTAAAAATACCCAGATGCTTTTGAAAATATAATGTAGGGGTCAAGAGAGAAAACAGAGGAAGCAGGTAAGTGGCTTTTGCATGTTCCCTTTGATTCAGCAAAGGTAATTTATCTTCTGGTAATTTATCATATGGATATAATTGCATACACAAAAATACTACATAAAAGGTTACTGCAGTATCGTTTGTGATAGCAAACCCAGCTGTCAAAGGATAGGTTACTGGAATACATTCTGTTACAGCCATATAATGGGATACTAAGCAACTACATAAAGAGTAAGGAAGCTTTCTGCAAGTATTCATATGGAAATATCTCTAAAGATATGGTAGAGTGAGAGGAAAACAGGATGCATCATGTGCTAACATGTAAAAAGCTAAATAGGGGTGGGAATGGGCCAATGAAGAATAAAGGTATACATATTTTGTTATAGTTTGAGTTTGAACATGTGTCCCACCTATTCAAACAACATTAAAATAGAATATGGGGATTTCAGCCATCCAGGGGAGGGATAATGGAGATGCTAAAACAGTGGCATTATAGCTGGGGAGAAGTTGATAGAATTGGGATATGTTTGGTAGACTCTGTCTATGGAATTTGCCTGGGGGTTTGGTTGTGAGCTGTGAGGGAAAATCAAAGATGATCCCTAAGATTTTGTTTTGAGAAATGGATGTTTGTGGTAATTCCTGAATTGAGGAGGACTGGAGTAGAAGGTAGCTTTGGAAGGAAAATCAGAAGTTCTGATTTTTGAACTTAGGTTTGAGATGATACAGACATCCAGGTAGAAACTGGGGAGGCAATTGAACTTGACCTCCTAAGTCTAGAGGTCAAGGTAGACATTGGATCTGGAGATATAAACTTAGGAGGCATCAATATATAGGTGGTTTTTAAAGCCATAGAGTTAGATGAGATTACTTCCGGGCTGAGGAGTGTACTTGGAGAGCGCACTTGCCAGGGCTGAGCCCCGTGACACTATTTCATGTCAAGAGGAAGATGGAGATCCAGGAAAGGAGACTGAAAATCTGGGCTCTGGAGTTAGGAGGAAAACTGGGATTTTTGTAGTGACTAGTGACACAGCAGTCAAGAGGAAACAGTAAGTATTCCAAAATGATAGTAATTATCTATGTCACATGTTGCTGGGCAATAAAACAAGAGTTTAGAGAAGCGACCATAGGATTTGTCAATATGATGGCCATTCCTGATTTAGGATAGGGCCATGATGTGGATGAGTGTTCTGGAAAAGATGTAAGATGGGAGGTGAAGAAGTGGGAATGGTGACAAAACCACTCTTTTCTGGAGTGTCATTTGTTTGTTTGTTTTGAAAAGGAACAAAGGCATAAGGAAATGTCCGGAGAAATGTGATGGTCAGGGGCTTTGGCTTCTTTTTCTGTCGGACTGAGAATGGTGCAGTAGAAAGAGAGAAGCTGGTGGTGCAGCAAAGGGGATGATAATTCAAGGACCCCAGACCTGGTGAATCTTTGCGAAGATGAAAGGAAACAGGATCTAGAGCCAAGTGGACAGGTTGGCCTGTGAAGCAACCCAGCTCTTTTCCATTGTCAATGTGGTTGCCACTGGAAGGTCAGGCTAATGGATTGTTATTGCCTCGGTTCTCTTCATCTGAAAAATGGGGACATAAGATAAATAACAATGTCTGATAAGTGGCATACTTTCAGTAAATAGTAGTCCTTTTTGTTTTATTTTATCTATGTGTTTTTCAAATATTCCATATTACGCATCTGCTACAGTAATGTGGAAATGTATTTTAGTGTTCTGTCTTATATTTCCTGGTCAGAATGAATAATAGAGATGCCAAAGTGACCCTGACACCCTCAGCACAGTGAAACTTTTTCAGCACCAAGGACAGCAAACTAAATAATAATCAGTTCATAAGATTTCAGCATAGGATTGCTTAGGGGCCAGTCACTCTTACAAATACATAAAAGTGGGGGGAGGAGTAGGAAGTAAGGAAGCCTTAGATTGAGCCCTGCGGGAAATTCCACTTCCCACTTGCAAAGAACAAAGCTGGGCTTTTTCTTTGTGGTGTTTCTGCCGTTTGCACAGAGTACTGGCATTGTATGAAGCTCTGCTCCCTATCTCCCAGGAACCCAGTGTGTTTGTGCCTGTTTAGAGAAAATCGAGGGAGAGCAGAGAAATCAGAATTGGTGTTTCAGAGGCAAGCTTACAGGATACCTGCAATGCTGGGAGAATGGCAGATTACATTGGGATGCGACGTGGGCCTGAGTTCTGAATATGTTGACTTTATCTTTTAATAATGCATTTCATTAGGAACAGGGGCTATTGATGTACTGGGCAAATAAAATGCATTCTTCACAGGCTGCCTCACTCTTCAATAGTTCCTTAAGCAGAGAGAGAAGAAGCAATGCTTAATGACTGTATCTCTTATTAAAAATTGCCCACCAGTGACTCTAGGGAAAGGAAGGGAACCAAATCTCACCAGACTCCTGTTTGGAACCAGACTCTTCACATGGCTGAGGTCGTTTAATCCTCTCAAATACCATTAAGGTAGGCATCAGCCTTATTTGTACAAGGGAGAAAGCTCTGAGAAGTTTTGTAACTTACTCAAAGTCACACAGCTCACGAGTAGCCAGTTGACATCAAGCCTTTTTTTCTGTGTTTACTACCTGTTCCTCTGAACCAGGGTTTCTCAACCTCAATGCTATTGACATTTTGTGTTGGATAATGTGTGTGTGTGTGTGTGTGTGTGTGTGTGTGTGTGTGTGTTGGAGAGGAGGCTGTCTGCTGTCCTGTGCATTGTAGGATATTTAGCATCATCCCAGGTGCAGTAGCCTCCCCCCCAGCCCCTGCTTTTAATAAACAAAAATATCTCCAGAAATTGCCAAATGTCTCCTGGGAAGCCACATTTCCCCAGACTGAGAATCCCTGGTCTACGTGATGCTGCCTAAACATTGTCTTACAGCTCATAGCCCAGCAGCAGCTTTCTAGATTGTGGGCATAGATCATATTTGTGTGTGCTATGTTCATTTTTTCATACACCCACTCTTTCAACTGCCCATCGATACTTTCTGAGTGTCTACTCTAAGCCAGGCACTCTGCTAGGTACTGAGGTAAGGAGATGAATAGATCATGGTTCCCTTCCCTTGGGGCATGCATTCT